ATTGGCCAATCGTCGAATCACCGTTAGAGAAGTTGCTGAGGACCTAAACATATCGATTGATTCATGCCATTCGATTTTTACCAATGATTTGGGCATGAGACGGGTTGCCGCGAAATTCGTACCAAAATTGCTCAACGCCCCTGCTCACACATCGTTGCTTGTGCGCGAATTTTTGGCCAAAAACAACACACTAATGATGCCGCAGCCATCGTATTCCCCAGATCTGGTCCCCTGTGACTTTTTCTTGTTCCCGAAACTGAAGAGGCCCATGAAAGGACGACGCTACGCTACGATTGAGGAGATAAAGACGGCATCGAAGGAGAAGCTGAACAAGATCACAAAAAATGATTTTTTGAAATGCTTCGAGGATTGGAAAAAACGTTGGCACAAGTGTATAATATCTGATAGGGATTACTTTGAAGGGGACAAAATAGATATTCATGAATAAATAAATAATTTTTGAAAAAACACAAAATTCACGATACTTTTTGAACAGACCTCGTATATATATTGATATATATGTGTATACATATATGTCAATATACATTATTTATTAATAAACAGAAGTAAATATACCAATGTATTGCTGCTGCTGCAGCTGTTCTTGCTGCTGCTGCGGCGGCTGTTCTTGCTGCTGCTGCTGCGGCTGTTCTTGCTGCTGCTGCTGTTGCCGCTTCTGTTGCTGTTGCTGCTCCTGCAGTTGCGGCTGCTGCTAGAGTTGTTGCTGCTGCGTAAGCCGCATCACAGCCTCTTGCAGTTGCCGCAACTGCAAGTGCAGCTGTGGCACAGACAGTTTTTCAATTTTTTTTTCTGTAAAAAATAATATTACACATAATATTAAAGTATTATATATCAAATAATTGTAATATACCGATATCATTAATACTGATTTTACAAATATGAATAATATCGGTATATCATTAGTAAAGCTACAAATGGTACGATTTTATACTGATGCTCGATGCTGATATGAAGCATCAATATAGATCATATGAGCAAAATCGATGAAGGCTGCGTTCCTCTTGGCACTTACAGCGCTTATAAGCATCATTTGTCTTTGTTTAACATTTGATAAACAACAAGGATGAAATGATTTTGTGAGCGCTGTAACCATCAATTGTAAGCGCCAAACGGAACGCAGCCGAAT